AATACAAAGATAAACACCTACAATTTGAGAGGTAGAGGATCTCTCCCAATTCATACATTTTGAGAGGCAGGAAATCTCTCCCAAACCCTAGACCTAAGACTCACAATCCAATCTTCTGCCTAAAACTAACCCTAGACATTATACCCAATAAAATAATAATAAAAAACTAATTTTCCCTTAGACATACAAAAGACAAATTTACCCTTAGGCTAGACGCCCTCGTAACAGTACCCACCCCCCACCCCAAAAGATGCATTGTACTTAATGTGAAAAAAAATGAGCGTTCCTCCATCCCCACGGCAGTCTCTATTTCGTCATTCTTTGTTTCCTTGTCTTGGACTATGAGAGCTTTTAATCATCGATCCTTGCAACGATGTCCTGGGGTAAACTTCTCATCACACCGAAAACATAACCCCTTTGCTTCTCCTGAATATATGTCTCTGTAAGGCGTTTGAGTGTTGCTCCCAATATTGGTCTATTATTTGTGTCTCGTACAGCCTCTCTCTGGATTTCCACTGTCTGAAATTTTGACATCATCATGATTGCAGCAGTTCCATACGACGCTCCATCTGTGTTGCTCTTGTTGGCTTTCTTCATTTGGTTCTTGTCTTCTACCATCTGGGCTAGCTCAATCATCTTCCTCAATCCCCGCAGTCTTAATAGTCGGAGTGTTGCCCGTATGTCGGGTTTTAAGCCCTTTATAAAATTCCCCACCAGTCCAACTTCAGAAATCCCCACAGTTATCTCGACAATAATTCAAATATCTCCCTATATTCCATGGCAATCGACTCCTAAGTTAAGGCATAGAATTGCTCGTATATGTCTCCTTCCTAAATGACTCAAAAACATTCAAACAAACAATCCTTAAATTCATCCCACAAATGATTCGAGTATCTAGTCTCCCACCACTGAAATCAGGCTAAGACTTCCCCCTCCAAACACAATGTTGTCGCCATGAGTTTTTTCTCCTCATCTAACTCATTCAACGTGAAGTATCACTCTGCCCGATACACCCACCCATTTGTGTCTTCCCCCTCAAACAGCATCTTCAACTTCATGACTCTAACATCCCCACCCCAACATCCTCTTACTCCATTGTTTCCCCCCATGTATCAAGGATAAAACTTCTACCTTCGACCGTAGTCATCCCCTCCCTGCTTTTCTCTCTTCTTCTTTGTACTTTTCCATACCTCTAACATAATCCTTTCTTCATGTTTCGGCCCAACCGCTGCCATCAGAAATCTCTAATTCACCCTTAATCGGAGCCCTGAGAGGAGGTTCGTGATGGTGAATGTTTTACTCCTTACATTTCTCACCTTTGATCTCTTTTCCTTTCGATCTTGCTACAGATTCCCAAGTCAACCTTTAGTTAAGATTTGCAAATTGAGCTGTTGGTTGGCTCTTGGAGTGCATCTCAATAAGCCCCTTTAGCATCTCTCAAATTTCCCCCATGCTCTCGAGTAGATCCTCCAATTGGTTCCTCATAGAAGAGAACCTCTCATCTATGGTGACAAATCTTTCTGTCATCTCAAATCTGATTTGGCTAATCTCTTCTTCCAGTTTCTTGTCCAAATCATCTAATTTCATGGTTTTCATTCTTCCCAGGAAAACTTTCGATCGCAAAAGACAGAAGCACCTGTACGCAGCTACGAGAATAGTGACTGTATCGCCCAAGGCACACTGTAATTCCGTCAATGAACATTGATTCTTATCGTTCATCACTATCCTTCGTGTGACAAAGCCGTTCGTTGGGATCAGAGAAAAGGATGAGAGAAGCGATCCTTTCCCCATGCAAAAAGAGAAATTGTACGTGATTCGGTAAGCCCCGATGCCTTTCCCGCAAGCGTTGAACGCATATGCATGGCAGGGTTTGGTTAATAAGATGACAGGCTCCAATCCCGCCTTTTCAACAGGCTCTGTTCGCGGCTCTATTGAGTAGAAGGCGCCTAAGGAAGAGAAAACTGGGAGTTTTGGATCTCTTTATGCCGCTTCCCAGTTGTTGTCCCTGATCGCGACTATATCTAGAGGTGAAGTCACAAAATCATTTAGATGTCATGGTCCTTCCCACGCAGCGATCTTTGCCCGATTGTATGGCAATCTCGAGTACTATTTCCCCAATAATCTTTGATCTGATACCAATTTATTATGATTCGAGATAGAAATCGACAAATTTTCACAGAAATTAGGAAAAACTTAAATTCTTATTGCAATAATCCAAACAACTCACACAAATACAAAGATAAGCACCTACAATTTGAGAGGTAGGCAATATCTCCCAATTCCTACGATTCAAGAAGTAGGAAATCTCTCCCAAACCCTAGACCGAAGTCACAACCCAATCTTCTGCCTAAAACTAACCCTAGACATAACAAGCCTATTTATACCCAACAATAGTAATATACCCAACAATAATAATAATAAAAGATGTAATAATAAAAGATTAAATTGCCCTTAGACGTACAAAAGACAAATTTGTCCTTAGGATAGACACCCTCGTAACACTCTCTCTCATGAAATGTTCCTCTTTTCCTTTTTCACAAATGTACATAAACACGGATTGAGCCCATTAAAGAAAGTTATGGTCATTAAGTTTATGATTTGTGATAAAATGAGAGAGTTTCGAGGTTGATTGGATAGAATTCTTGATTTTTGATTCATAACTAACCTCCAAAGTATAGCTCGCATCTTCATCATGTACTTTATCACATCCCCTACACGCGTTTAGGGTTGAAAAGGATTCATTGTTGATGTGTTACGTGCGTGAGCTACGAATGATTAGAAGACTTGGAAAGAATCAATTGGTTAGGAACTTATGCAATGCTAGCAAGATTCTTACGACTCAGTCTGTTCGGGAAGGAGTTGTTGGGTCGTCAGAGGAAGGTCGTGCATGTTAGCTGGTTGTCTGCAGGAGAAGGTAGTAGAACCGAAGTTGCAAAAGATAGTATTCCCTCAGCACTGCAGGAGAAAGGAGGGAACCGGCGTTGTACAAGATGGGCATCACTGGCACTACAGCAGATGGGAGTCAGCCGACGTTCGGCAAGAAAAAAGGAGAACTAGCATCTACAAGAAAGTACTGTAAGTTAACGTGGGGACCGAAGGGTACAAACACATAAATGTTTGTAATTTTACTTCACTAGGAAACGTCAATGGGGTCGCGGTTACAAACACGCGACAAGTCGAGATTGCTAAGCTGGGAGCCAACAGGATTGCAATCACGATTAAAGATGGGTCTACAGTAATGATTTTGGTGCTAAGAGAGGTTCTACAACTGAAGGAAGATCTAGGATTTGATCCCTAACTCTGATACCATAAAGAAATGTGGAGAAAATTGTATCATCTTATTTTATAATTGTAAAATTATAACTCATCTCCTTTTATAATAAGAAACTGCTAGGGCAAGCTTAAGTACAACAAATACAGCTTAGCCAAGGTAAAATAACTCGACAACGAACAAAAGAAATATAATATAATAAGAAGAGAACAAAAAAGAATGCAACTCAAAATAAAAAACTCAAAATTCTACACTAACTATTATTTTGAACAAGTCAAAAAGAACAGGTTGGCTATAGTCAAGTGACTGCATTTTATCCAATACCAAAGAATTTTGGGTATATAATTTTGGATAATATAAAAAAATAAGGTACGTGACATCAACTAAAGATTGTTAATATATATTAATTATAATTGAAGTTAATTAGAAGCTCTATAGTTATTTGATAATTTAGGTTATGCACACTTACATATTTTATGAAATTATGACTATAGTGTAAGTTTTGTGATGATCAAGGTAAAATAATTCTGTTTAATCCAACTTAGTAAAAATATGTACAAATATGGTAAAAAATGTGTTTGATTGGATTGTGAGCCTCTGTTACATCTCATTTGATTGGAAGCGATTGAAATAGAACATGGCAACAACCCATCTACAAATTAGTGACGTTCTTTCTAAGGCTCCCTAGAGACAATTTTATCAATCTAATCGCCAAGATGGGAAGAATGCTAAACATCCATTACACAGCTTGAGATAAGAGTGTTTGAAATCTGGGCAAAATTTGCATGACTAGAAACAGATTTGGAAATATTTACATACTGGATTTGAAGAAATCTGCAGAGCTATTACATGGACAAGAATTATATGGCTGCAAGCAAATGTGAAAAATAATAATATAACTGAATCCATGGAAGCAAATCTATATTGTAATACAAAGCAAATATGGACACATATTTGCTGCTGTTTACTGTCAATCTCCTCACATTATGCCACTTAAATGAAGTTTGTTTAATCACATACCAAAGAGATGCAAAAAAGCAGCTGGCGTAGTTTGTAAATTCTGAGAATTTTCATTACTGTCTGATACTAAGTATTATGTTTAGTGTATAATAGTAGTTTCTTTCATTGTTGTGTTAAAGTCTATATATTTTAAAAGTTTTTACTAAATGAATAAAATATGATAGTTCCTTTTCTCTTCTTCAATCCTCCAATTCTTCAGTTTCATTTGTAGTAAGATGGCCTGCACGTGGAATGTAACGTTATAGACTCACCATTTAGCAAGTTTTGGACAAACCTTAACATGCTCAGAATTTGTGGGCACTTCAACCATCCAGGGTTAGAAAAATAGTTGATGCATCGTAAGATAAGTTTAGAGAATAAACATTCGTCATATAAGTGACATCTTTGATTTTCATTTGACAGTATCCATGTTGTTTGCATGCCAAATAAAAAAACAATGAAAAAAAGGCTGTTGTAATATCTACTGTTCCTTCCCTACTGTACTTCTTTGAAGAAAGCATTAAAATCACATAATTCAGAATGGGCATTAATTCCTAAATGAACCACAATATAGTTGTACTCCGTATATTAAATAAATCACAATGCTGATATTCAGTAACTATGAACAATAAAACAATGAAAGAGTAAGCTTAAGGAATAAAGAGCAGCGTCCATCAGCCTGAATGACTTTTCCTGATAACAGATGAGAGCAAGATTCCAAGAAAATTACCACAAATTTAAATTGCGCAAAATTGATATACAAAAGAGGAAGTATCTTCAAAATCTGCTTCTCATGGGCCATTTTGATTGCTTTCTCATATATCTCCATGGCTGCTTCAACGTTTCCCTGCAGAAATCAATAAGCTCGGTAAATGCCTATAATGCTTCCTTAAAAAGCTTAATTTTTGGTTAAACATGAGCTTTTTTTTTACCCTAAATGGGCCATACATGTGATGCCATTAAACTGTAGTCTACTCATTTGTAAACCTATATCAAACTAGCCAGGGTGATCCAAGTCCTTTCAACAAGATATGCTAATGATTTGGATCTAGCCACCTAAGTCGGTACAGCTAAGCTGACTGATAAATTGGATCAAGTCATCCATGGCAAGTCACTCGGGAAGCAACAACATACCTGACTGCTATAGCAACAATAGCTCCTTATATAGACCATCCTCTAGAGCAGACCTAGACGTGCTCACGTAAATGGGGAGTTGAGGCTACAAGTTTGGGATCTCTCTGTCAAACTCTCTTCTACTCCAGATCTTTCATCAAACCCAAGACTTACATATTCAGAACAATTCGCTTGTATTTCCACTTTCTGATAAAAAAAAATTTAACTCAAATCATTAAGAATAATTCATAAAAGAGCTCACATAATTTTTGGGAATCTTAGAACAACAGCTCCAATAAAACCCCTCCGAGATCATGTTCAGCGAGGTCGAATTCGCTTGTATTTCCACTTTCTGATAAAAAAAAAAATTAACTCAAATCATTAAGAATAATTCATAAATGTCGGCGTTTAAAAGGGGGAAGTTGCGTTTGGGGGTCGCCCGTGAGGTCGCCTCCAAAAAAAAAAAAAAAAAAAAAAAAAAACTGAATCTCATTTTCAAACTTTCTTGTAACAAATTTCTAGAAGATCATAAAAAAAGAAAATAAAAAATTAGATATTCATAGATCATTCAAAGTAAACCAACCGCCTCAATCAAAGCTGGTCCAATCTCAAACTTGAATGCAATTCATATCTCAACATCTTAGCAAGTCCAAATAGGGTTCGATTAATTTCCATCGAATGAATCTCCTTCCAATATCATCCTCTTTCCATCGCCATTTAGATGCTAGCGAAAGCCAAGCAATTCCCTTGATCCTAATGGCATTGCTTCTCTTCTACATATTCTGAACCTAACTTTAATGTTCTTTCCCCATTTTCTTCGCAATTTTTTCCTTGTACTGTTATCCTGTCCCACTGAAATTCATCCTTAATTGAAATTCATTTCCTTATATGCCCAGACAGCCAAAAGCAGTGAATAAGTATTACTTCTCTCCGAGGCTCTATATTTTTTTTCCGGTCCTCAAATTTTTCCTTAAGTCGACTTCATACTTTTATTTCTTCTCTCCCACACCAAATCCTCCCATTGCCACAAGCAAGCCCTACTCATTATAGTATGTGCACTTATTTGTGAAAATGGAGATTCCTAAAACCAATGCCAAAATGGTTGGATAAAGTTAAAAATGATTGTGAGGGTAATGATAATGATCTGCTACAAAAACATCAACCTTGCTGCTATTGCATATTGACAATCAAGCCCAACTATTGTGTGCAAAATGTGAGGATTATTATCATGCCAGTGTAGAATTTACACATCCCTATGATTACCATCGCCATCATTTTAAACCCTCCGCAGCAAATTTCTTTAAGAAAGTCTACTCATGTTACCTCAGGTCAATCATTCTACCTAGTAAAGGATGCATGATGCCAAAAGTTATTAAATAGGGAAGTACAACCACACAAACGAAAATAGGAAATAGCAATAACGTGACATCCAACTCACACTAGGGGAACGATCAAAGAGTGCTGTTGATCAACTATGGGGGTTGGAAGGGACGGCAAGGGGTTGAAATGATGGTAGGGACGTTGGTGGATGGTAGTAGCAACAGTATGGGGTTTTGGGCTGCAGTTTAGGGGCAGCAGTAAATAAAAGAGGTTGTACAGTGGGAAAGCGGTGATAGAAGATGGTAGGGGTGGCTGGGAGGGCTGAGGGCTACAGAAAATGGCAAAGGGGTGGCGATGCCCGAAACTGCTACACAAGTCACTAAAGTAATATACAAATCTGAGTTCGTGTGTCAATCCCATAAGAAACGAATTAACTTCCAAATCAGAAAAATTTCTAGCCTACAGGTTTTAAGTATGGTCTGAAGTGTTCGAATTTTGGAGATTTTAAAGCTATTATTCCTAATTTTACAACTTCCAAAAACCAAAGTAAATTAAGCGAATGTTCTATCAAATGAAAGATTTTCCCCCTGAAATGGTTTATAAAAACCTAGATTTACCTAAGTGATATAGTTATTGATGTCAATCAGGAGCAGATTTCCTGCTTAGCCACTTCAGGTGGTCAAAGAAAGCTTGGGATTTCAAATTTCAGTTTAGTTTCATAAATAATGTAAAACTCCTTGGGATTTTATTTCTCCCTACACCGATTGCACAAACTTATAAGCAATATTCCTATTCTCCTAAGTTAGTGTAATTTAACCTAATTGTTCCACTAAGTTTTCTTCACAAACTCATTGTGCACAAGTTTTAACAAAACAACTGAACAGGTTGAGAGTAAATTAAGAGTAGAAGGTTAAAACACCGTCATGAAGAAAATTTAATTCAATCACATAACAAAGTGAAACTCCATATCCCAAGATGTAATAATTGTGTTTAACAAAAATGGTAAAATACAATATGAGTGACATTTGGAGGAGAAGAGTCGCTCGAGCAAAATCAAAGGAGGACTTGGACCTTGCTTGGAATCACTTTTTGTTTTTTATTCTCAATACGTTTTGTTTTATGTTTTCATTTTTAAAAATTCATTTCGTACTGTTATGCTTATACGTTTTTAAAAACATAAAATATAAACATATTTGGTTGGGTATCTTCTATTTTTTTCTTAAAAAAAAACTATACCTTTTAAAAAAATAATTAAATTTTAATAACTAATATCATTTTAATTATTGAAATTATTTAATTACTTAATTGTTTTATTATGTCAAGGTTTTGTTAAATTAAAGTTTTAATTGATTTAAAATTTTTAAAAGTTTATTAAAATTTTATGGATTAATAAAAAATTCAATTTACTTAATTAAATATTCAATTAATTCATTAATTAGTATTTCAATTAAGTTTTTTAATGTTTTATTTAATGATTTATATATTTAATGATATGTTTAAATAATTTAAGGTTTTAATTTTATTATTACTAACTTAATTAAACGAATAGTATTTTATTTGAATTATTATGGGTTTAATTGATTAATTATTAAATCAATTATGTAAATTTATTATTAAATTGAGTAATTATAAGTTAATTAAATTTCTTTAACTCCCATTTAAATAATTAATGCTTTAATTAGATGACTATTAGTATAATTAAGTATTTTTTGATATATTGAATTTAAGTAATTTTAATAATTCCATTAATTTATTAATGATTTAATTAAGCAAGTTTAGGAGTTAAGTAGTGGACTAATGGCTTAATTTGGTTATGAATTTCGACCAATGATGATTAAGCTAAATTAAGAATTTAGTGCATAGGTCCGAAAAATATATTTTTGAAACAGCGAAAACATAATTGATTTATTTTTTATATTTTGAAAACACGTTTCATATGTTTTAAAAAAATATTTTAAAAAAAATGAATAAACAAACAAAAAAAACCCCTTTTTTTTTTTTTTTTTTTTTTTTTTTTTTGAAATTTGAGGGTCATGGCCAATTTTTTTGAGAAAAATTGATAATTACAACCATAAACTCCATTTACAACTCATGATAAGAAGAAAAACAAGCTAAAAAGAAAAAAAGATTACAAATAGCAAATAGCAATAGACTTCAACAACTGAGAAGCAATGAATATCACCTACAAGTAATAATACTCCAAGCCTCCAGAAAAAAATCACCAGCAGAATCAATTCTCACTTGTAAAATCAAACTAGAGAAAGAGAAGCGAAGGACTACACTAGTAAATAGTAGGAATGAAATAGACGAAAATTAAAGAGATAAAGATTAATGAGAAATGAAGAATTACAGTTGGTTATTAAGCTCAGAACTTACTTGCACAAGTATTAATCAAAAACAGAAAATAGAAAATAAAAAATGATCTCATATAGGGTCGTTTCATTACAATTGGAATAGATAACACAAAAGAGGAAGAGTCAAGTGCTTCAAATGTCCCAAAGCTTTGATGTCGTGCAAAGAAGGTGATCAGCATCGAGGAAGTAAGGGCGAACCCTAGCATCGACAAGAGACATAGGCGTCACAATGGGGGAGAAGCTTTGAGTGCAATTTGCTTTTAGTGCAATTGAAGAGGAGCATCGAGCGGGACAAACTGCTTCGAGAAGTGGGAAGGAGAACAATGAGTGCGGATCTTCGCGGGCAGAGGGAGGTATCAAATCTAAGCAAAGGTTCAATTTGTGGCTTTAGCAAGTGCAATGACACCAAAGATATGAGGTGTTCAATAGCTAGGGAGGCAACATCGAGCTTGGAGAAGAAGCACAGCGCAGGCTTTGCGAGAGACGTGCAAAGAAGGCAGTTGAAACTAGGCGAGGTTAGGGTTTTGTTTAAATTAAAGTTAAAGGAGTTTTGTATGATGATTAAAGTTGAGAAATTTTATTTTAATTAGAATTTGTGATAATAAAAAGATTTTGATTCAAATCAAGTGAGGAAAGGCGTTGTGTTGTCATATACACTGTGTGAGAAGGTTTGAACTTAATCAATTAAGTTGCATTTGGGCTAAGTTTATACATATATATATATATATAAACTTAGCCCAAATGCAACTTAATGTGTGTGCCACATATCCCAGTCTGTTGGTTGGCATCCACGGTATAAGACCCCTCAGGTCCGGGGTTGAATCTCCTCTGGTACAGTTGGCTTTGTGAAATTGATACTCAAATTGTTGAGCAAATAAATAAATAAATAAATAAATATATATATATATATATATATATATATATCTGTGTGTGTGTACGTGTGAATAAGTAATATTTTGAAAGTTAAATTGATGTTAGTATTAATTTGAGTTATTCTAATCAATGGCAAAAGTTAAAGGTTTCTAATTGAGGGGATCAGTAAATTGATAGAGGTGTTCAA